GGGGGGGGGGGGAAGAATTGCCTGGAATTGGAATAATTAGAATATAAACATAGCATGAAACAATGTTGGTTGAGGCTCACAGATCTTTAACAGACAAGATACTTGTGAAATTACCAATTGGACAACTTAGTGGTTTGTTTCTGTTTCACTAGTTAAGCCTCCTACTTATTCTCAACTTGCATTTCTTCTAGAAGAGAATGTCATCTTGACAAAATCTCTGATTATACCAGTTGATATACAGCCTACTATGAAGTCATAAGGGAAGGATCTAAACTTATTAGCATATAGTTGTTAATTAAAAATACTGTCTTTTCCTTATTCATTGTATAATAAAGTACTCTAAAGCTGACTGTAGTTTAGGATCTATCTTTCAGGTAGGAAAGACAGGAACAGACCTTTCCACAAACTTCTGTGATATGAACTTCTGCTAGCTTTTTTTTTTTTTCCTGTTTAAGAGGGGAAAATGTGTTTACTATTGACTGCTAGAGGTTTGTTAGTCCTCTCCTGTTCATGTTATCTGTTTTAAAATCTGTGCCTGCTATTTATGGGTTCTAAAGAAATGGCTGAATGAAACTTTCTTCTTTTAAATATGTATAAAACTGTCTAGAGCCAAGAGCAGTTCATCTCAAATAAATAGCATTGGTACATTTCAGGAAAGTATCTGTCTACCTTTTGTTTTTATTCATTATGACAGCCTTACTCTTGAAAAGGTCCAAAAATTTACTGATAGGAATGAGATCAGACATATGAAATAAAAAATTTAATAGTATCACATGCATACATGAAATGACTGCAAATATGACAGCAGATTAACTTAACTCCATTCAGCAGATGTTTCTGAAATGACCTTGCATATTATCTCTGCAATCAGGGGCTCATGTCTGTATTTTGGGACATTAAAATATTTTTTAAAATATGCTATTTGTACATCTTTTAAGTCGTTTGAACACTGATTTCCAGAGGTATTTGGTAAGTAGCTGCTGGAACTTCAGCATGTCTTGTGCTTTGGAGTGAGCTAGATTTCTGCCATCATGGGAACTGAGTAACATTTCATATTCCAGTAACCTTCATGGAGCAGCTTGCCAACAGCACTGAACTAAAAGGCACTTTCAATTATCAGCATAAGTATTTTTATAAGAATTTAAAAGTGTTAACTCTTTTTGCATCCTGTCAGTAGTAGGGCGTGGTTTTGTACAATAGATGAAAAACTTACAGGTCCGTGTGCCCTACTGATTTTGTCAGAACCCTGACTGTTTTTTCAGCAGTCTTTGTTGACCAGTGCTCTCAGACCTAGTTAAGCACTGTTTCTGACCAGTTACTGTTAAGAGAAGCTTCTCTGAAAGGCGTTCTAAGGTCCAAAGTAAATGCCAAATGCAACTCCCTTTTCCCAGCACTCCAAACTAGCAATCCTGAAGGTAAAAATACAAAGCAAGACAGCTACTTTGAAATTCAGACAAACACAGCTGCAGTGTGATCTGTAAGTAGCCATGCACTCCTTTTCTTAAATGTCTCGTGAATTCCGAAATAGAGATTACAAAGCAATTCCAGCTTTGTCATTAACAATAAGGAAGAAAGAAGATTAATTCAGAAAACATTTCTATCTGGAAAATTTCCCCATGTTTGGTATGGAAAAGCAAACAAAACGACTTTGTGTGCAGAAATATCTATGGAAACTTGTCTCTCGAGTACTGTTTTGTACAAATTCTGTTCTGAATTTTGCATCAAATTATAGTAGACAAATGAGAAAGGAACTCCAGTTATGTTCAAATCATTAATACAACTTCAGAGCACAAGAACTCCTGTAATTTGCATCTTTTCAATCTCTTGAGAATTTCTACGATTTTCTGAAAGCAGAATACTATGGTTTCCCAACATGATGCTAATATGTATGTTGGTAAGAAAAGCCTGCAAGTTTGTTCGTATCGGCATAACTTTTGCTTTTTCCTTTCAGCAGCACTAACAGTGCAAAATGTTCTTCACTGGATAGCCTTAACATACAGCACTCTGAGCAAAATGGGGTAATGGACTGGAGAAGAAAAAGCTGTATTGTCCAGCAGCACCCAGAGCACTGTACAAACCTACTTGACCAGGTGTGTTGCTGTTTTTTCTTAAAAGTAATATTCTGAGACACTTGAGAAGACTGTCCACTACACATAGATTTAGCTTTAAAAGATGAAGAGCCCTGCTAAAATTGTACAAATAAGTGTTGAAGTTCAAGTTGCTACTCATTTATCTTGATTAGAAAAACCCTAATAATTACTTACCACTGTCTCATAAAGTTGCATATTTTGTTTATGAATTTGTAAATAAAATTTCTGAGTAGGATATAAGTAAACAGAAAAGTCTAATGTTCATTTCTAGTCAGACACTTCCCTGTTGCTGTAATGTATTGTCATCAGAGAGAATTTCAGAATATCTGAGGAATTTTTGTGTTACTGCAAGGAACAAACTAGAAGCTGTATTAATGATACTAAACCATATTAGTGCTACAGTAGGGACCACAGGTTAAACATATTCTTCCTGCCTTACTTGTATTGTGTAAGTAGCTTATGTATTAATCTTTGTTGGAAAAAGTTAACAGCTAGATGCATATACACTTTTTGTGAGATTTGTGTTTCTTCAGTGGTCAATTTTGGTGTGAGTATAGTTGAGAAGAATAATTACTTATAGATAAAATCATCTACTGAAATTGGGGGAAGGTAGGTTGTTCACTACTTAGATCTGAAAAACCTTGAATGTTAGAGTTGCTTAATATTATTCTTGCTCTACATGCAGAATTTGGCTATTGATTATTATGTGAGGAATAGCAAGCCAAACAGCCAGTTTCCTTATTTTGCAAAGCAGAGTAACGAATTTATATTTGCTTCTAAAGATGAAATGGTAGACTGCATCAAAGCTTGAAATACTGCAAACTTGAGGCAAGAAAAAAGCAATATACTAAAGCAGAGGAAAAGCTATGTAAAGGATGTCCAAATACAGTGTAATTGGACAGAGATATATCTGAGTTCTAATAAGTACTACTGCTTTGACAATTACGAGATATTGCTAGCAACTAGTAATAGTATACTTAAAGAATTATGCAGATGCTATGTTTTTTCTTATGTTCTTCTATGTTGTATTCTAGAGTTTAGTTTAGCAGCAACCTCCAGTTTAAGGCTGCTTCATCAATATGTAAAAATAATTTGCCACATGTACTTCCCACCCCCCAACTATGAAATAATTCCACTTAAATCAATAAATTCCGTAGTGCCTTAAGCCTTGTGATTATCCTTTTTAGCCGGGTATGTGATGAAACACATTGGTTTTTATTCTCAAGAGGAAAGACAGCATACAAACAATAATTTGATTTATGTCTTTGGAATATTTACTGGTAGTAATTTGCTGAGTGTTTTGTCATAAACACAAGACAAGATGCACTATTCTAAAGGCCTGAATGCATTGTACAAGTAGTTATTTGTATGGTTGTAGCACCTGTGGGTGCGCTAGTCTTGGACTCACCAACCTGTTACTCTAGAAGGGATTTTTTTCTTTGCTTTCATGATACAAATTCCACTGTTGAACTGGTGTCTTTGTATTTTCTGTCTAGCATACAGCAGAAAAACGAAGTCTATCTACAGTAAGCAAGAAGAAAGGAAAGCCACAGCTGGAAAAGTAGGTTTCCAATGTAATCAGTAATCCAGAAACAGAGTGTAATGTACTCACTCTGATAAACAGAGTCTACAATCAATTAGGTGCTTTGTTTTGCTATTGTGGAACAAGAGCTGGCATAGCGTGAAGACAGTCTGCATAAAAATCCTTACTTTAGCTTTGAATTAACTTGAAAAGTAAAATGTAACTGTATGCATTAATTTCTCAAAATATTAGTAGTTATTTAGTAAAAAGGTGAAGGAGCATAAGTAGGTTCTTAATCAATACCAAAATGTCTTTTATCCCTTTATATTTATTCAAAAGTTAAAATGTGTAAAGCTGTCCAGAAAACACTGAAAGTCAAGTAAGGATTGACAGCGACCTTTAACATTATGCTGTGGGTGGTAACTTGCTGAGATGTTTTACCAAAGATAATTTGCACGTCAGAGGGCTTCAGAACTTCCTGTGGGCTACACAGTCCTGCACTGTGGGGAAGTGAAAACATTTTTACCCTTACCTGATACCCTGCCTACATCCAAGTAGACTTTCTGTCATTTTGTTACTCTGTAGCCAGATGCTTTTATGCTAGTCTGCTGTAGGGCTGCATTACACACAGCAGCTTTCAAAGACTACTTTAGTATCAGCTGTACTGGGGGTTTTTTGGTGTGTTTTTCTTTTTTAGATATTTATTCATAGTGTTTAGTAACACTGCTTGCAGTTTAGTTCCTTGTATATTGCACTTACAGCCTTTACTTATTTATTACCTTTGTTATATCTATTAAATATGCATTTCTGGCATGGAGCCACTGCCTTTGTTTGTAGCGGCATTTTGTGTTCATTTGTGGTTGGTTATTCATGCCCGTGCATTTGGAAGAAAAACAATGAAAATTATTTACACAGGGAGAAAGCAAAGAAAACTGACTGCCGGTTGAATAACAGGACTAATGGAGTTAGAGTTGCAGCATCACAGCACATCCGTACAGGGACAGCAAAAGGTAAGATATTTTTTCCCAGTCTGTTTGTAAGAAACAGAATTTCAAGCTTTGCTGATTTATTTATTGTTCTGCTGTAAAAGGGAAATCACGAGTGTGAAATTGTTTTGGTGCAAGTCAGTGTGTTGGCTGTCTAGTCAGTGCTTTGACTTGCTGTACAGAACATGCTAGACTCAGTCTTCTGTATGCAGTTGCTTAGGGTGTGTCTCTTTTCATGCATAGCTGGAGAAACACTAGTAAAGTCTCCATGAGTTGCCTCATGTGGAGCAGTAGTTGCAGAAACAGTCACTACTGGGCCACTTCTATATGAAATAACAGCAGTCCAAGTGTGTGGAGGTCCGCCATCTTGTCTGTAGTGTTTTCTTTGCAGCTCAGTAGTTTCATCAGCTGCTGTGGAACGGCCCATGAGGAACCTGCATAAAAACCCTTTAGTGCAAACCACCGATGAACTATAGTGTGTAAGCCACAAGACTGCTGAGCTACACACAGAACTGTGTATGATGCCCTAACAGGGTTTTCAAGTTTGGGTAATCCAGAAAAATCTAGTGTCTAGGCCAAGACTTGTGTATATCAGTCAGTTATAAGGCAAAATTATATTTGTGTTCCTTTAGTAAATTGAGTTTCCAAGCTTTATTACAAATTTCTGAAGGTCTGTGTTACCCATTGACTTTGCCATCTTGATGTTTTCTAAACTCAGTATCAGTTGCGGCCTTGCCCCTTTTATACAACAGAAAGTTGAGAGAGAATTTGGCTTTTTCTACACCACCTAATTGACATAAGTGTTGAAAGGACTCTTATGAACTGCCTTGTCTTGTTCTTGCTTCCACTTGAGGTACAGTCTTGATTAAACTTTCATTCTTTCTTCTCACCGCTTCTCACCTTTGAGAGTTCCAGGTAGATAAGCAGGTTTTGTTACATTCTACAAACGGTATTTGACTAAAACTTTTAAGAATTCACAGTTCACAAATTTAGCAAAACCAGGACAATTTAGAAAGCTATAGCTAAGGGCTGTACAAGCAGAAAAATATACTCTACAGGACAGCTTTGCTGCATACATTTCTGACTGATTGCTTTCTTTGTCAGGCAAAACGCACTGACCTTTTATGAACTGATGATAATTTTAAGAGATGGTGAAATTTTGTGTGATGTAGTGCAAAGTTAAATAGGGAATGCTTTGCCATAGGAGTTCTGTCCTCTCATTACCCATGACTGTACAGATTTGAAACTGTATGCCTGACACCGTGGGCTAGTCCAGGTCACTTCAGGAGGAAACTGCAGCCCATGGAGGCTGGAAGCAATTAAGTCCTGCTCAGAGATGAGCTTTCTACCAGTGCGTTTGTGTACAAACATCAAAATGTCTTTTGAGATACCCCGTTGGAGACGCAATCCAAAGAAAAAAATCACGTTGCAGTCTGAGTGTGTGTCTAGCTTTATATATCCAGGCTTGATTTGAAACGCTCTATTTTGAGTCAGTAACTCTAAACTGTGTTGTGTTTTCTTCCAACTTTTCCTCCCTAGTTTTAACTTTTCTGAGGTATGGGTTAGCTGCACTTGTAACTTTGAAGACCTGATACTTCGTGACTAGCACTTTAGACTCTTACTTTCAGTGTTGTGAGGTTGTCACTGCTGCCACACATTAGATATTAATTTGTTAAAATAATTTGTCCAACAGGTTTAATCCAGGAAATTATTTCAAGAATTGAAGCATTAAGGCAGCTTTTTGATGACTTGTTCCAACCGGTTAAAGTTGCAGTAGCAATAATTAATTAATAATTTAGAAATAAAATATTAGAATTAATAAAATAAATAATAGGGCTCTAACTTTTGTCCTGGAGTCAACTGAGGTTTTAGGGGTCGGGGCTTCCATGAAGCTCATGTCTGGTATACATTCTAAGAGACTGAACTTGAAAGCCAGAGCATCCTAGCTACCTACTTGATTTCACTAGTAGGAGCTGAATCCACCCTGAAAGCTGATTTCCAGCAAATCAGTTTCCCATTGTCTCATTCAGAATTTAGAAAACTATGTACACTTTTTTTTGTACACCTCTTTAACAGGTTTTGTTGATACAGTTTGCTTAAAGCCTGTTCTGGAAGAGGTAATTGTAAAAAGGCGTATTTTTTTGATGTTGCCTGCTGAGTTAGCTTTCTGCCTTTGCTACTATGAGCGAGGAGTATTGCATCTCTTTGAATGGAAATGTTTGATTGCTACCATTCGGAGGAAAGGATTATTGTAGTACAGTTTGCTATAAGCTATTTATTAGGGATGATCATTCTTTTCACTTCTCTGCATAAATATCAATTTTCAATGTCACCTTCTTTAACACCAAGGATTCAGTCATCACAAATTTAGGGACTAATCCTGAACACTGGGAGTGGAAATTCTAGGAATATAGGGGACAGATGCAATTAAGTAGGAACCAACAAAAATCTGAACTAACATGAGATGTGAGCAGACTGAAATAACCTCACTTCCATATACTGACATTAAAAATAAAAATGCCAATTTTTATTTTTAGATCTGAATTTGGATGCTGGATCTGGTCATGATACATGTGGAGAAACATCATCTGAAAGTTACAGTTCTCCTTCTAGTCCACGGCATGATGGGAGGGAAAGCTTTGATAGCGAAGAAGAAAAAGACAGAGGTTGTATTTATGGAGAATGTGCATGAACGACTTTATTCATAGACTAATCTCTTTCTTATATGAGTTTTAATTAGTTTCTCACTTTTATTAGCTGCTTTTATTTCTGAACTATCCACAGAACATATTTTTCTTTGTGAGTTTCGTGACTACAGTTTGAAGGCTTCTAGCAAATAGCAGGACTGTTTAAATAGCACTGAGTTTTAGATTACTACATACATGTAGTAATTTTCTGACCTTAGTGGCATAGCTCTCTTGAGAAATTTCAGCAGTACAGTAGTGGGAAAAGCTGTGGCATGAAAGGGACTGGTTTTATATCATTTACATATTGCATGTCTGAGAAGTCCTTCTTTTTGTATTGACAGTTTAACTTGCCACTCCTTCCCAATTTGCGTAAGCTGTGTTAATGTCTGTCTAGGTAGATGCAAATTCCTAATTTGGTCTGTATCCTACTCTTCACATTTGCAGATAAACACAAGACAAAGGCACAGCAACTAGTTGGGCATTTTGATATAGGCAAGTGGTGGAGATTGACCTAGCTTGATTTGGATGAATGAAAATCATCTCAAAGTTGTTATAATTTGGGAAGGCATTATCTGTGGCATCAAACTTAAGAAGTTTTATATGGTTAAATGAGTCCAAGGCGTGACTCTATATTGTTTCAGATTCATTCTTCTGACAAATGCTTTTGTCTCCACAGATACAGACAGCAATTCTGAGGACTCTGGGAATCAAAATACAAGCAGGTTTACAGGCTACAGTGCTGTCAGTTCATCAAATATGAACAAATCATCTGCTCAGATCTCTTCGGTGAATAATGAAAATGGAAGCCTTTCAGAAGATCCTTTGAATGCAAAGTTTCAACATATTTCCTTCATGCCTGCCTTACACTGTGTAATGCACAGCGCTGCCCAAAAGCCTGAAGCAGTTGTCCCACCACCCATATCTGCAGATGGTAAAACAATGGGAATGCTTGTTACCACGCCTGTTGCTGTCTCGCCAGTGAGAGAGTCTGCAAATTCCCCTCCTGGTGGAATGGGCCCGGTGACCTCTGGTGAACCTGAAAAACGCCTTGAGCTGATGGCTTCCCCTTTGCCAGTCCCATCCACTTTCCTTCCACATTCTGTCCAGCCTGGTAGCCCTGCTTTGCATTTGGCAATACACAGATTGAAAATGCCCTCTCCGCAGGGATCATCGGAAAGTTGCACAGTCAATGGACCACAGCAGCCGACAGGAAACTTAAGTATTGGATCACCAAATACTGCCTTTATCCCAGTCCACAATCCAGGTAGTTTCCCAGGATCCCCAGTTCCTACTACAGATCCCATCACAAAACCTGCATCCCAGGTGGTAGGACTGAATCAAATGGTGCCTCACATTGAGGGAAACCCAGGAGCAATCCCTCAGCCTACCAATCTAAAGGTAGTTCTTCCAGCAGCTGGTCTCTCCACAGCAGCACCGCCACCTCCACCAGCTTCATATGCTTTGCCAGGCAGTCCTCATGCTACCAGTGTGTTGCCCAACCAGAATACAAACGTGCTAAACACTGTAGCAACTTCCTCACCACCTCAGTCAGCTGGTTTAGGTGTTGGCCAGGTCCAGTCCACTGTTCCTCCTGCAATACCTACACATACGCCAGGTCCTGCCCCTAGCCCAAGCCCTGCTTTAACACACAGCACTGCACAGAGTGACAGCACATCCTACATAAACGCTGTTGGAAATAATAACACTAACGGGACAATGTTACCTCCACAGCAGTTGGGATCTGGTCCTTGCGGTTCTTGCGGACGTAGGTGTAGCTGTGGGACCAATGGAAGCCTTCAGATTAATAGTTATTTTTATCATAACCCACTTCATGGACAAGTCTACAGAGTTCCATCTTTCTTCACTCTGCCATCACTTTGCAATGGCAGCTACCTCAATCAAGCACATCAAAGCAATGGAACACAACTTCCTTTCTTCCTGCCTCAGTCTCCGTATGCAAACGGGCTTATGCATGACCCAGTGATGGGGAGCCAAGCCAACTATGGTATGCAGCAGATGGCAGGATTTGGGAGGTTCTATCCTGTATATCCAGCACCTAACGTAGTTGCCAACACAAATGGGTCGGGACCCAAGAAGAATGGGAACGTTTCATGTTACAATTGTGGTGTAAGTGGACACTATGCGCAGGACTGTAAGCAGTCATCCATGGAGGCCAGTCAACAAGGTAATCATGATAACTCCCAGCGGACTTGCTTTTGAGTTTAGCAGTTTCTCTTTACCTTTCTGAATGTGCTGTTTCTGGTCTTGCAGAAAGGCGTGCGTGCGTGTGTATGTTTTGTGTAAATGGTTGTGCACTAGTGACCTGCTCTAAAACTGCAAAGTATCTTATCTCTGCCTGAAAATTTTGTAGAACAGTGCAAGGGAACGGGGTTCACAGCGTGAAGTTGAAAATGGCTATGATTCAGAGCTGGGAAGTCAAACTATATCAGTCCTAAATTGTCATTCTTTTTTCACTGGTTTGGTTTTAACATTATGTTGAGACTTGCATGTTGTTTCAACTTTTCCATTCCTGTTCAGTGTTTTTTTGGAGACAATTCATTGACAAAAAGTGGGAGATATGAATTAACTGTCTATGATACAAACTTGGATTCTTAAAACTTGTGAGAAATTCAAAACCCATCAGACTGGCCATTTGATAATTTAACTTTTCTAAAGCTTACCTTTGCGCAATCAGCCATCCTTCTGTGTCCCATCATGCCACACATAAATGAAACATGCTTTAACTTTTCAGACAAGTTGCGGCAAAAAGGCAGAAACCAATTGGAACTAAAAATCAAAGGAATGGCTTCAGTCTTACGTGCCATTTCTCTCTCCATGCAGAAGAATGGGGAAAACGCAGTGTTTGCATAGAGCATGAACTGTTTTTGATTCTTGGCCTGTGCTCATTCTGACTTTACTTGTTTGGTCGGACTGGAACAGGAAAGACGAACCTTGATGGGGGTTGTCTTTTCTTTGCATTTTTCCAATAAGGGTAAAGTCCTAGATCTACCGTCTATATATTTTTTAAACTTACAGTTTTAGCAAGCAGATGAAAGAAAATAATATAAAATCTTAGGACCTACTTTAAAAGGACTGGAGGATGATAGTGCCTTTTGAAGAGCATGTCCATTTTGATACCTTGTAGTGGTTTTGTAATCCATTTTAATTGTGAGCAGTGACTTAGTAGTTCTCTTTCCTGTTTTAGGCACTTACAGACTGAGATACGCACCTCCCCCTCCCCCTTCCAATGATACCTTGGATTCTGCAGACTGAAACAAGTAAACATTGCCTACTTAAACTGAAGCTTGGGGAATTGGGGGAAGGTGTGTGGGGAGGGGGAGGT